ATTTCATTTGACTTGCATAGTTAGCGCTTTTGTTCCCCTTGCAGCAAGGGTAACAATTTTGTGCCACGTTCATTTTACATACGCAATGCTTTTCAGCATTGTGCTCACACACCTCATAAGCTGCTTAGTTAGCTACGTCAGCGTCAGCTGAGTACAGCACCGCCTTTCTTCAGGACCATCAACCTTTTTAACTCGTTTCTCGTTTCTGTGGGTGGGTCACCAGTGCTAATTGCGTAACAATCGTCTCCAGGTAGCACATCTGGACTGCTATTATCGGTATTGTGTTTGCTTGCAGCTATACTTTGTATTCTGGGTAAACTTAAAAGCGTTTCATGTATTTTGCTTCAGCTAAACATATGTATAGCTTCCTCTCTGCCCACAAGTCAGTACAACCACTGTACAAATAACAGCTAGTTCTCTGTATTATCTGTTTTCCCTCTTTTAAATCCACCTGTGATCTGCTTATGGGCTTGCTGAAGTCAAAGAAATCTTTGCATTGATTTCAGAACAAGTAGAATTATATCCTTGAATATAAAGTCTTCTTGTCAGGGTATGAATCAGTTTGTGTATCTCCGTGAAGTTTTGTGTTTCTGTTGAAGTGATAAATCACACAGAATGCCTAATCTCCGGCTTCTCGAAATTCCCTCCAGCTGCTGTGACTGATATGTTTATGATGTGCTGTCTTTGTCAGGCCAGTGAATTCCCCCCTACCTCACCCTGTCCCGGTGTGACTCTCAGCGCAATTAGTGTTGACAAATACCATCACGTTGTCTGTTTCTCTGTGTTGTGTTTAGGTGCTTTCCACCCTATGGCAGTACAGCTGGGCATGAAGTCATGATGAAATTACAACTTATACAAAAGGTGACAGCCTGTCTCCTTAGCAACCTGGGCCACTGTGTGCACGAAACCAGTCCATGCCGACGTGAAAGTCTTGGTGCTTATTCCCATGGCATTTACTGGCGAATCTGAAGGTTTACTACATCCCCCCCGATGTTTTGGCATGAACATAGTGTTTGCAGCAAAGCAAACTACTACTTTTTCACTTGTACAAGCAGGGAAGGATTTTGCTGGATATAAAATAGGTACAGATGTGATGATGTCACATTGTGCATTGATTGCACAAGGTAGAGAACGGAAGTAGCATTTTCTTCAGTTTCAGATTATTTCTTCTGGGCTCTCTGTCTTCATGCCCCACTGGGCAGAGTAGGCATCAGCAGTGCAGAGAGGCACTCTCAGCTCCAGAAATATGACTGAAAGGGGCAGGCGTTTCCAAAAGATAAGTATTTCTGAGTTCCTGATAGAGACAGGAACATAATAAAAGCTAAGCCAATGGCATTTTTCCTTTTTGTGTTTGGCTTTTAGAGATTTTTGCTCTGCAGGTAGTTGCGGTAGTTTTCAAGGCAAAACAGTACTGGGGCATTCCCAAGGACTTAGCTTGTAAACTATGACTGAGAGAACTCTTCTTAAGATTTCAAGGTAGAGTATTGTTTGCTAGTGAACATATAAAGCGAACAGCCAATATGCACCTTTTATCAAGGAAAAAGCTGTAAAATTTGATTCTTGCTTTAAAAATGAAAATTAGTGGCATTTGTGTTTCTCTAAGTGGTGCATGATTTGGTGAGATTTTAATAATAAATCCCACAGACATTGAAAGCTTGTTTCATACCAAAGTGATCATTAGATTTATATACATGCTGCATACTTGCTGTCAGAAGAGCAGTTCATTTTGCGTGTTTTCTGTGAGGCTGATCTCACTATAGGCAAGCTAACTGTCTGAAACATACGGGGCTGCATGGTCCACTGGCTGAATTTTTCTAGACAAAGAGAATGCAAGTGAAGGGGACAAAGAGAATGCAAGTTAAGGGGAATATTTTTCTAAAAGAATCACTGCAGGCTGTGATATTAGAATGGAGGAGAATCTGATAGTGGTTAATTCCCATTGGTTAGAGTGCCAGTATTTTGCCATAGTGTCATTTTAATGCCATGTACGGTATTTACTGGAGGTGTAGCTGTTAGCTGTGACAGAAGACATACAAAGATACATTATACATTCCTTCTCTTTGTGTGATAGGTAGCACATTGTGAAGCTGAGAAAAGCTCAAAGACTTTTTCTTTTTTAAAACAGCAGTTGCATTATACTTTCTTTTCTCCGTCCATTATGAGTGCAAAGCCCTCTGGTACTCATGTTATTTTAGTGTACCTTGTTAAACTTTCTAAGACAGATACATAGCAAGTTTTGCCATTGGCCTGTAATTAGAAGAAATTGTGATGTGCTTATAGAGGAAAAAGTGGTGGTATCTTTAAATGTGGGAGACCGGCTATGTTTGTGGCATTGCTGACAAAGTCCGGTGTGACCTTGAGCAAGTCCTTTTCCTTCCCTTGAAAATGAAAATATATTCCTCTGCATCATAAAGTTTGAGAATAAATAGACAAGTATTTGCAAAGGACTCTGCACACTGATGAGAATCAGGCAACTTCTGAGGTAGTCACTTCCAGGAAATGGGCTCTAGCAGCTTTTTATCCAAGCAGATAAATATTTTTAATGTGTTAAAAAAGGAGGGAGAACACAGTGCATTCAATTAGTCACCTACGGATAAGCTATTTGCAACTTCTGAGTCATGGCCTTGGAAGCTGACTTGCATGATTTTTTTTTTTAATTTTTTTTTTTTTGAGAAAGTGTACTTGAGTATACAGATGATTTGGGGAACTGTATAAAGAAACAAAAGTAATCAAGAAATATGAGCTTCCCTTTCAGTCTCTGAGCAAAACTGCAATGAAGGAAACTCCAGCCAACACCAAGTATGGCCTCTTTAGAATGTATTATTTAAATATCTCTGATGGGTCTCCACACTGACTTTCTTACAAGTTTCTACGTTAACTTTGATTTCTTTCCTTTTCTCTAAGGCAAGGTATAAGGGAACGAAATTGTCATATATCATATAGGCCTCTGAAATAAGGGTGGTGGTTTAAAGTGCTCTGCTTGTGTTGTATAGAATCTATCTATCTACTGCACAGTAAAACTCATCTTTTTCAAGAGAGAGAGGGCGCTCTGGGATGAGATCAAGGCTATAATGAACTCTTTGAAGAACTAAGAAATATTTCAGAGCTTTGACTTAAGACATTCTGTTGAAGAGAAGGGAGATGGGAAAATAGTCCCCGTGTGACAACTTTGAAAAACACTGCATTAGCTAACAAAACTCTGCCTCTTCAAGTCGAAGAAAAAAAAAAAAACCTGAACCCTCTTTTACAGTGCTTACTTTCATTTTTCCCCATTCTGTTTATTTGATCCTTGATGTGTAGGGGAATGTGTATGTGTGTTTTTCTCAGATGGTTTTCAGACATTTTGCTGACTACTTTATCATGTCTTGCATATCACCAATGTTGCTCAGACAGTAGTTGAGAAACACTGGTCTAATGCTGTATCGGCAATAACGGGAAAATACCACTGTCAGTAGAATATGAAAAGAAATTTCTTTGGCCTAATAAACTGGAAAAAATGAGGAGGAATAGAGAGATCTCAAGACTTGTCAAAATACTGATAGAAAATTCAGGAAAGGTTGTAATTATTCTGGATTGATTTGCTTTAGGAAGGACCGGAACTATTAGTATATAGCAAAGGAATTATGTCCAAATTTACTGCTGAAAAAACCCAAAAGACATTTTAGTATTATTTTAACTTGTATGTTCAACACCCCTGATTTCTGATTAAAAAAAAATGATAAGCGCTGTGTGATGGGGTCATGAGTCCCGGAGTAAGAGACGGACAGGTCCTATGGGCCTGTTGGACAGAATCTCTACCAGATACAGATAAAGAATACATCTGTTAGGTGCAGCTTTTGGGGAAAGTAACCAAGAGGTTAGGCTGGAATAAGACGCTTCTCCAGGAAGGGTTTTCTTACAGCAGGCAGTGAGTGGCTCTCTGCCAGCAGCTATCTGGGGTGTTGACTTGCATGTTAGCATCTCTGCAAAGCATTGTCCCAAATTGAAGCGCTTACACAAGAACTCAGAATTAAAAAATAAAATAAAATAAAAATCTCTTCTAGAACACAGATACAGCCACCCTAGGACATGCTGTCAGAAATTCTGTTTATCTTAAGTACAAATTAGTAACAATACTTAAAGCTACAAGAAAAATCACAAAAGCCAAGACTAGCAATATACAGGGATTTGATAAATTTTCAAAGCAGTTGGTCTAATTCATGACATTTGGGAAGACAAACTTGAGACAGGATTCCAAATCATGATAGAATAAAAGACAGTGAAGCTGTGATTTTTTGTCTCATCTCTTTGCAAAGATAAGGGCTAAATTTTAACTTTAGTTTGATTCTCACATTTAGATGCAGAATTGTTTCCACCTTATATGTATAATTAGCTTATGATTAGAATGCAAACAGTGGGTTAGCTGAAGTGTGCATCAAGTTTGTGAAGCAAAACAGTTCTGATGTCCAAGGAGAGATTCCTGTTAACTTCAGTTTTTCTTAGACAAGGCACATGGTATGTTAATTAAGATTTCTTTTTAAACTACTCAAATCTAGTAGATGCAAACTAAAAAAAAAAATAATGGCAGAAATGACTGATGGAATATTCTTATCTAAAGAACAGCTGTGCAAATCAGTCTATCCTCATGAATAGTCATAGAAGTTAACAAGACTGACATCAATAGGATTCTCTGTTCCTGTAATAGGTTTCTGAAAGAAGTGCGTTCAAAAACAGGATTTAGTAGAGTGATGTTCTTTGTATAGATATGTGAAGCATCCCATGGAGCTTAATGTATTTTTAAAAAGAGGGAGATTGTTTTTAAGGAAGACAAACCTAAGAGAAGTTCTAATTTACTGTTACATTTTTTGGGGGGGTTAATAACTGGGATGTACAGGCAAGGATATGGATTTGAACGTGACATAGGATTTTAGACATAACTCTAAAAGTATCTTCCTGTCACACTAGGAGGTGTGAATTGTACGTTCCGTTAAAGCATTGTTTTCTCTGCTTTTTTCTGATAGGTCATTGCTTGTGAACAACAGTATGACTACTCATATGATGCTCGATGTGACGTATGGTCCTTGGGAATAACAGCTATTGAACTGGGGGATGGAGACCCTCCTTTATTTGACATGCATCCGGTGAAAACCCTTTTTAAAATTCCAAGGTATGGCACTAGATGGCTCTCTTCCCTCACTAGTTTATCCAAAGGCAATCTAGTGAAAGGAGAAAGAAATATTTGGTAAACATTTGTGCTTCAAATGCTAAGAATCCCTCATAGGAGAAGATATTAAAAAGCTGTAATGTTAAACACTTTTTTTTTCATCTTGATTTCTACAATAATTTATATTTAGAATGGCTTGAAATGATGAAGACTTATGCATTTATTTTATTCTTATCTTAGAATATAAAATCATGCAATATCAAGGTACCTCCCTTCAAAAGTACTTTTCTTAGCTACTATTGATGAAAACATTTGTTTCAAAAAGGGAAGAAGCCAACATTTGTAACTGTTCAATAACATTTTTAAATGTTGATCCCCTAGAGTCTTTGTCTTGTTTTACTGTGGAAGAAAACCACACAATTTTGACAATCCTCTGAATCAGTCTGGCAGTTTCAGCAAACTGCAGTCATAATTTTTTTTTCCATTTACCCAAGGATGTTAAAATGTGAAGATTTGGGTTGTCGTATATGGACATGAAAAAGGGGTAGAAATTCCCTCTATTTATAGTCGTGTAAATTAGCTGTATTATTTCATGTTGTCTATTTTTGGTTTCATTTTGTTTTCATTGAGCATTCCTGAATAAGTTGAGATTGACAGTGTAAAACAGAGTTTAACAACAGAGCAGTTGTAGTAATAGATGAAATATCGAAAGTGCCCGTCATTAGATTAGACTGGCATATACTTATCTTTTCCACATTTTACTCATAAAAAAGGCATTGCCACTGACTGGTAACAGTTTAAAACCTTCAGCAATACAAGCGTTTGACCTTTTGTTATCTGCACAGTTATCACAGGCTTTTAAAATGTCTTCTGATTGCAATTTGCATTTCTGATTAAGTCTATTTATATGCAGATGCAGTTGTGCTGGGTTTTTCGTCATATAGTTATCTCCTACCCAGCTCAGACATGAACTGCCACCACTCTTTTCAAAATTATACATACTGAAGCAGCGGTTCATCTTGCCTTTGCGTAAGTGCCAAACAGGTCCTGGCAAGTAAGACAACAAGGGAGGCTTTAGGTTGCTAAAGCAGTATCTATAAATTTTATCAATGTGCAAAACAGTTTGAAAGGACAGAAGTCATACCAAAAGTAACAGCAAGCAATAGGAAGATACATGTAGAGGCTTGGATTTCTTTTCGGAGTTTACCCCTTTCCCTATTGGCTGTTGCATCTCTGTATGACTTACCTCACCTTTAGTTTGTTATCTACCTGATGAATTAAATACAGGGTACATTTACTAAATAGAATGGTAGCAATTTTTAAGTTGAGATGTGTCCCTCTGCTTTGCATTTTATGAACTATAACCCTGCGGCTGGTAACTGTACATTCATATTAAAGTGGGTGATGTTGAGTGCTGGATGGCATAAAGGCCTGGGGTATAGGAGATAGAGCTTCTCTCCTGGTACTTGTTTGAATTCAATTCAGAGGGGTAGTAAATATGACCAGAAGGTGCATTGTCCTCTTCTAGTAGTTTACAAGTTTACAGTTTACAAGTAATCTTAGTGCAGTTCCTGGTATCTGTGCTGCAGTTCACACATTTTTAACAGCGTTTTCAACATCGGCATTGAGGCTCTTCTCAGGTTGAAAGTGGTTCTTCCAAGCACTGTTTGTTGAGTGCTCAAGCAGCGACATACAGAAACACTGCAGTTCCCCTTCTGAGACTGTACAATCCAAAATACTCTGAGTTCAGGGATCTGGTATCTTTACACTTTCTGCTTTCAGGATAACATCTGTGTCTGACGTTATAAATGCAAATGTTAAGCCAGTTGGTCATTTTTAGGTAGTTAGTGTCCTCGAGTATCATCCGTGAATTTATCCAATACAAGTTCTCAACTGCTATAACATCTAGTAGCAAGGAAGCCTACAGAGTAGCTATATTTTATTGGAAGAACTCTCTCTTTTAGTGTGTCGCTGGCTAGCTTTATTTGGTAACCCTTAGCTGCCTTATGAAAAGAGAAGACGTACAGTCAATCCCTATTTCCTCTCTCCATGTGACTTAATGTCATTGTAAGATCCAATCAAAAGAAAAGGAACCCTGCTGTTTCTTTTTTTTTTTTTTTCCCCTCTTTTTCTTTTTTGTTATTGCTTTGCCATTTCTTGCCCAAGACTTTCTCTGCATCTGTCGTGCTTTTGAGCCAAAGCTCTCAGACCTAGTTTTTGGCTCAGTGAGACTATGGTTAGACTCTGGACTCAAGTTTCTTAACTGAGACTAGCACTTGTCACATCTCCAGACACATTTGTGCAGTACACAGGGATCTTCATGTCTTAATATTGCTCTGATGATACCTGCAATCAAACAGCTTTGTTTATGGTAGAGTGAATGAGAGGCAGTGTATTCATGCAGCTCAAATTCTTGTCTCAGCAGAGGGGTGGTAATCACTAGCATGTCCTGCCTCCTGCTTTCTATAGGAGGCAGCTTGTCTGAGCTTTTCCTACAGCGGGCTCTGCTCCACTCGTTGTTTAAATGAAGATGTAATTCTGCACATCTGGTGAGATGTAGGAAAGGCTCACTCAGCTGACTGCCCTCAGTTCACAGACAGCACTGCTCTCAAGTGAAGTCTGAAGCTTAATGCTCCTGAGGGATATAGTGAGAAAGAACTCATCCAGCCAGGTTTTGCTTTCACCTGGAAAATGGCCACTAGCAGGAGGTTAGCAGTTTCTGAAATTATCTCACAACTGTAATTTGCTATTCAAACCAAATTATTATTGGAGTACAATGGAGCTGAATACTAAGGTACACACTTTTAATTCTGGGATTCTGGAGGTAGTTGTAAGACCTGGGTCAGGAAGAACTATAACCTTTTGTAACTCCAGCCTTGCATATATACCCGTACTCTAATTTCTGACAGAGACATACATAATTTAATTTGTTGGTAACAGCTCCTCTTTCAGCTGTGTTTTCTTGTGGTTTGATGTGAAACTGGCAAATCAAGTTTCAGTTATTTTTAAATGTATTAAATGTATTAGTACCAAAAATCACCAAAGTGTGTTGCAGTTATGGTGTGACTATGGTACCCTACAGTCACGCTCCATTTTATCTGGAAGTGTAAAAAGCTACTGTGAATAATGAGCAATAAATGTAATGGTCTGTTGATTTACTGCATATATCTGATTTCTATATGTGTTCTCCCAGGATAATTTTTGTTGATTGGGCTGATTTGCCTTCAGTTTGCAGAAGAAAAGGTGAAATTGCTATTCACAGTGAATGACACTTGGACATCACTCAGGCAGAAAGTTACCAGGAATTAATTCCTTGTTCCCTTACATTCTTGACTACAGTTGATCCGTATCTTTCTATTTATACTGCCTTCTGTGTGCTAGACTGGTCTGTTTCGTGTGCTGATGATTTCTTTACATTATCAGAAAACTTTGCAATAGTTTTCAAGTTTTTTCTTTATCAAGCACTGAATAATCTGTTCTCATGAATGTACTTAAAAATGTTAGTAATGGTGAAATTGCCAAAGCTAGATACAGAAATCAGTGTGCGTGATTCGACAGAATTTTTCCATTCTCAAGTAGGGAATAAAATAATTAAGTTTCTATGTCACTTTAGCCTTTTTTTTTTTTTTTCCTAGAGACTGACAGTAATTGTGCCATTAGCTTTGGCACTGAATTTCAACTTAGTGAGCTGTGGAGGTAGGCCTTAGGCTTAAGTGAATATAATTGAAATCAGTGAGTTTTTACTTTCCCTTTATAGGGTTTGAATCAACCACTGAATGAATGGTTTTGTACTAACAGTCACAGCAGTTGCATACCACTGAGATCTTTGGAGATGTCGTCTTGTGTAGAACTCAAGTCAAGGATCAGGCTTTTACTGTTTTCATGTGCTAATTTAAGCAGGAAAATGGGAAAAGCTAATAGTACCCAAACATCCTACGCTGTTTGTGTTCTCTAAACAAGAAGCAAATAAGGTGTTAAATTCAGATGGTACTAGTTACAAAGCCCAAATATTCTTTCAATAGATAAGAAATTACACTTCTCTATACTTTCTATACGTTGTAGCACCCCAAGATGGCATTGCTGGAAGAGGAGGCTCCTTATGGCCATTTAAATCCAGATCTATCTTCATCATTTCTACTTCAAATATTTTATATTCTCCTCTTTGGAGGACATTAACGGAAAACAACATACTCACAATAAAACATTCCAGTTGCCATGAACATTCTCTCTATCCCATCCTAGGTATATATCTCATTGGACAACTGTTGAAATTGGGATTTTCCCAGTCATACTTCTCTGTGCAGGCTAGTATTTATATAGAAATGACAGAACTTGTAGTGATAGCCCTGTGAGCTGTCAAATAAGACTGGAGGCTGGTCCATAAGGCAGGAGTTCATAATATGGGAAATTCTGATGGCACTAAGATGTTTGATTTTTGCATTCTCCATTAGTGCTCTGAGGTTCCTAGCTCTGTATTTTTGTAACCCTCTTTTTTTTTTTTTTATGGTTTTAACATCTCTGTCCTTTCAGCATTGCTGGAAAAAGATTCAAATACTTTGTCTCTGATCAGGATCCTGTCTGCTGAAAGTGTTTTGTTTGAATATAGTTCTTAACAGGACACTGTAGATAACAAGGCCTCAATCACGTCTATCTGTCTCTCTCTTTGTCTCTTTCATCTGCACAACATGAGCAGCAACTGTCTTGTCTGTTTGCTGTGGCTTTCTAAATAAAGATCATGACTTCTTTATTTGCAGTTCTCTTCCCCCGTCTTGTTTAGGGTAAGGATTTTATTACAAAGATTCTAGTGAAAGACCCATAAATGCTACTGTTAGATAAGTAACATGAGTTGAAAGACTGCAAACAGAAGTGTTACTCCCCGTCTTCCATTCTTACACTTGCACATCTAGAGTTTTGTCTTGCAGCTACCAGAAGTCTCTATTTGAACAGGACAGTAAAAAGGTTTCCTTTCATTGATTGAACAACATAAAATGTGATTAGAGATT